ATAAATAAATAAATAAAATACTTAAAAAGAAAACTAGCAGCACATGCCCCTTATCTGAAGGTCAGGTCACTGATTGTTCTGTGCTGTGATATGCTATGAAGTTAGGACATCAGACTGCTTGAGCACATCTCTGTGGGGACCCCTGTTTGCCTTCTAACCTTTTACCCAGCTTATGTAGACACGTGCCTGACAGGTGTCAGATGCCACCACCTTTGGTCCTGCCATGGCCTCAGGTCATAATGGCCTATACCAGGTACACCCACATCTAGATTTGATCCTGTACCAGCTACACCCACATCTAGACTTGATCCTGTACCAGGTACACCCACATCTAGACTTGATCCTGTACCGGCTACACCCACATCTAGACTTGATCTTGTACCGGCTATACCCACATCTAGATTTGATCCTACCACTCATACACTTTCCAGAAATTTCATGCTCCAGAATAAGGGGTTAGGACTATTGGCTGCCTTCACTGTACCCTACCAGAACAAGAGGAACCTTGAGGCTGTGGTAGGCCCTACTGGAAGAATACTGCCCCCACCCCAAACTAATTCCTGAACTACCCTGGTTGCACATGCCTTCTATGGAACCAGCATCTTCACAGGCTGTGTCCAGGAAGCAGCTGGACACTGCTCTGCTGAGGATTTCCTCAGGCTTTCCCCGGGAAAGGGCTCTCCTTCACTTTCTCAAGGTTAGAATTCTCCTCCCCAGCTTATAATGGCTATCGTCTCAACTCCAAGTCAACAAGACCTGTGGAGTACTGTGTGGAGTACATTTGCAAATCAGCAACTCTTAGCTTTCAGCCTTGGGTCTGCTGTGATTTAAAAATATCCAGTCAAGCTGGGCATGGTGGCACCCATCTTTAATCCCAGAAGAGGCAGTCAGAGCTTTGTGAATTTGAGGCCAGCTTGGTCTACATAGCGAGTTCCAGGTCAGCTGGGGCTACATGTGTATGTGGAGGCCAGAAGTTGACATTGCGTGTCTTCCTCTATCATTTCCACTGTATTTTTCGAGATGGTATAATCTCTCACCAAACCTGGAGCTTGCCATTTCAGTAATGGCTAGTAGGCCCCTGGGATCTACCTCTTTCCTCTCCCCCAGCACTGGTGTTACTGCTGTTTGTCACTGTGTCTAGCTTTTACATTGGTGCTGAAGATCTGAACTTGGGTCTCCATGATTGCACAGCTGAGACTTTACCCTCTGAGCCATTTCCCCAGCCCTGGTATTTTTGTTTTTGTTTTCATTGGTCCGTGGCTCCAGGATGTGGGCAGTGGAGCCCTGCTTCTCAGGGTTTTTGCCATCCCATCACCTCTGCTTCAGAACTTACCTGATGTTCCTGTACATCTCTAGGGTGCAGGGGTTAACAATACTCCAGAAAGTGCCCCATGTTCATGAGCCTTGGAGACTGTGTCTCTCTTAGGATCAGTGGCTGGTAAAAAGTGTTCTTTTAAAATAGATTCTAGATAATAATAGGTCTGCCATGAGCAAAATGCTTTCCTCTCTTAGTAGGCCTATGATCCTTTCCCAACAGCCAAGAATGGGCTTTTGAGCATTGTTTGTGTGATGAAGTGTTATCTTGGGTCTGATATTAAGAACCCCCAACACTATTGAGTGAAAACTACCAAGTCAGTAGGGAGAGAGACAGTGACTGGAACAGAGCCTGAACAACTGAAGATTGACGAGACTATGTCATTTCACCCTCTAGCCCAGGAAATGGTACTGGGTAAAGCCAGTCAAAATGCATGGGTTTTCAGGAGCATAAACTTGTAGTATGTTGCCATCTAGTGGAACATACAGCAAACTAGATACTAAAGCATTCTGAATGTAGGATTGAGAGGAGCTAATAGCTTGAGCTGGGGAAAACTACTCAAAAGTTGTTTTTTTTAAGGCAAGAGTTTGAGAAGCACACATAAATTAAGGCTGACTTCTAGCAATATTTTCAAGAGTAGTGGAATGGTCCTTCTGTTTCTCAGGGAAGCATGGATGATTATCACCAGGGTGTGAACAAGTTTTAAACCCAGTGCCTTGAAGGAGGACACTGCATTTTTGTTGTCATTGATACAACAGGGAGTTTTTTATCTAAAGTCCTAGAAAAAAATGCCTGCTTGTCCTAGGATATTTTTATGTTTTTTAATATATGATTTTAAATTTTCTTGTGCCTTTCTTACATACTTTACCTTTTTCCTGTTAAGTGTCCACAGAATAAATATGACAATTATTAAGAGAAGCAAACACGTGCCACCACAAAGAACTTAAAGTCTAACCAGCATCCCCCAAATATCTAGCTCTGTGGCTTTAGATCTGTTTGTTATCAAAACCTACAGAGTTAGATTGTGCAATGTCTTAGTAACACTGACTAGTTTTCTTTGCTTCTTTGTTATTCTGCTGATGTTAGATCCCTTCCTGGTGCCACGGCAGCTGAGTGTGCCTCCAATCTGAAGAAAATCTACACAGTGCAAACAGTGCAGGTAAGACGAGGAAGGGAACATACTGGGGTAGTGTGGCGTGTCTTAGACACTTAATCATGCAACCTGAGAATTGCCAGTGATGGAGCAACCCCTACCCAGGGCTCTGCCTTGGGATTGGCTCTTAGACCCTGGTAGCTGCCTTTGACTCCATCCACCCCAAAAGCTGGCTTTCTCCCAGCTTTAGCTAAAACTTGATCACCAAAATTTTTCATTGACACAAAGGGGAGGCAGGGTGATGTGTAGTTAGGAGTGAAGGTTTTGCAGGCATTCATCTGTGTCCCCTTTTAACTTCTGTGCTGTTGACCACACTCTGCCTGTCTATTCCCTGTGTCTGTGAGGCAGGTGTCCCCAACCTGCAGGTCATGGATAGTTTAAGAGTCAGATAAGGAGAGCAGGGCAGAGGTGAGCATGGATGTGCTTCATCTTCTGTTTTGTGTTTCTGTATAGCTGGTGTAGCAATGGACTCTACGTCCATGGGTGGAGGACTGATGATGATCATGTTTGCACTATCCCTATATAACAGGTTCCCATCAAATACAAGTCCTTAATTCTATCTGCTCTCCTTCTATCTCCTTCCTTCCTTCTTCCCTCGTGTCTTTACCCCTTCCCTCCCTCCCCTCTTCCTTCCTTCCTTCCTTCCTTCCTTCCTTCCTTCCTTCCTTCCTTCCTTCCTTCCTTCCCCCACCTCTTCCTCCCCTCCTTTCTTAGTGCTTCTGTACAGGGTACTTCATACATATGTGTGCATGCATGTGGAGGTCAGAGGAGAACCTTGGGTATCATTTCTTAGACATCTTCCACTTTGTTTGATAGTCTGTCATTGGCCTGGAACTTTGAAAAGTAGTCTGGGCCATTTGGCCAGAGAGCTTCCAGGGATCTGCTAGTGTCCACTTTCCATCTCACCATTGCTGGGATCGAGAAGTGAAACAGCCTTTTTTACATGGGTGCTGGGGATCAAACTCAGGAGCTCACATTTGGAAAGTAAATACTTTATTGACTAAGCCACCTCCACAGCCCTTCTCTTTTTCTAACTCCGAAGAACAGTTTTCAAAAACTGATTTACTTAATCTCATTCCTAACTTCTTCCCAAGCAAACTCTAGCAAGTTTCTCTCCCATTCTGGTGTCCTTTGTAGCTACAGAAACAATGAGACTTTTGAAGCTGCATTGAAGTCATGCTGTCTCCATGTCATAGATTTTCTTGAAGGCACAGATGATAAGCATTTCTCCAGTTGTACTCCTAAATCTCGTCATATGTTAGTTTCTCCATTTAATGGGCATCTAGACTGTGTCCCTTAGGCAGCCTCTCCCATGCAGAACCAGAACAGACATCCTTTTTTTCAAAGACCCCTCTGCCAACGTCTGGTTTAACAAATGTTCCTTCATCCTTACACGGCTCCAGGAACATGATAGTAAGATGTGATGGGTGGTCACCTAACACAGTCAGCTGGGGTAAGGACACAGCCCCAGCCACAGGCCACTTCTCTTCTAGTTGAGAAAGTGACATAAACATGTGGAGGAGAGTCACATTGTTGCTGTAAATGACCATTCAGAGCTAAGTGCAGATGTGTGAAGCAGGGTAGGAGGAGCCTGGGAAGGCTTCTCTTGGCCTTTCCTCTTTGGTGAATCCATAGGCTTTTGTTGTTCTTCTCAGGAACCACTTTATAAATGTCAAAGCACTTGATTTTAAGGCCTGTCTGCCTGAGGAAGCCCTCAGGCCCTGCTGGGCTTTGGAGGGACTCCTTTCTCCACAGTATGACAAGGAGCCTGACAGCAGGGGGTGGGATTCCAGGGCAGAGGCTGAGAGACACCATGAGGGATCGCTGGCTTTTCTGTACCAGCTTGGTAATACAGTGTACATGCTGGGGCTTGGATCCAGCAGTGTGTTGGGATCCTTAAGGACCAATTTAAATGCCCCAGGATGACACATATTAGGAAAGGCTTTTCTTTATTGTACTTTATTGGGATATAACTTAGATAAATGCAGATTTTTCAAGTGCAGACACTTTTTACAAAAATAAAAATGCTTGTACCCCTCACACCCTCTTCCCATCAGACGCCTCTTCCAATTGCAGCCAACATTCCAGTTCCTGTTGGCATACATCCTTCCATCTGTGATAAACTTTAGACAGATGGAATCTCAAGATAACCATTCTGTGCCACATCTGAACTCTTCTGACCTGGTAAACCCTGAAGAATTGAATGAATAAGGGGAAAATAAGTGGACATACCACTTTTCTGCAGCACAGCTGATTGTTCTCATAAAGCTGCATTCAGTTGGTTTTTGGGAGGTTGTTGATCAGATTTTATTCTTTTTGTCTGTGAAGCACTAATATATGCAGCTTAGAGATAGATGGATACAGGGTTCCCTGTGGTTTGGAAATTTATCAGGGGTGATTAGGAAAGAGCTCTTTTGAGATGGTGGAACAGGCAACAGTAAGAAAGAGGTTGTGAAACATTCAAGTTCCTTATTTGTAAAACCAACTTGATAACAGCCTCTACTGTACAAGATTGATATAGGGGTAAGTGAGATTGATTATATGCAGTTCTTGGTGGGGCTTGCATATGTAAGCCCTCACACATTGCCAGGTGTTACTGGAATCTGCCCCCTTGCTTCAAAATTGACTGACTAGAGTGTGTGACGGGGATGTAGGGTAGTCAGTTTACTCATCTGCAAAGCCAGAACAGGTGGTTTTATCATGCTAAGTCACAGTCAAACTGGTATGATGAAGTAAAAATGCAGAGTAGGTGGCTGATTCCAGTGGTATGCTCACCTTCCGTCACCTATCTCCCTGTGCTCAGGCTTCATCACATACATCCCTTTGTCATGATTCGGTAAGGACACTGTGTACTACTGCTTCAAAATTATTTATTTCAAGCTGCTATCCCCCAGATTACACCACTAATACCATTATTTATGAAAACATATTTGACTGTCCATAACTGGTGTGAGCTCTGCTATGTTTATTGTCTTGGGAATGGTCCCAAGGACTATCCGGGTGAGAAGTTCAGGCCATCTGAGGCTATGCTGTGGTCTTGCCATCTTTTCGTTCCATGACTGTATACTGATGTTTAATCCACTCTGTTTGTTTAAATGCCTGCCCAGTGGTGTCTGTCTGTCTCCTGTGTATGTTTGATGGAAGTATAAGAATCATATGCTCTGAACGATGGCTTAACGTGAGACATAATTTCTTATTACTCTGAGATCTTTCTGAAAATCCAAGTGTCATGGGGTTGGGGAATGAGGAGTTTTTATTCCCATTGTTAGCTAAGAAAACTGAGACTGGGTGGTAAATGACCCAAACTTGGCAGTGGGAACATCTGATCTTGTACTCTCCAGGGCTAGAAGTACCTTCACTTGTGGGTCAACTGTTTAACTTCCTTTATGTGAGGAGTGGAGCAGCGAGGCTGCCACGGGCTCCCAAGTGCTCTGTTGGGGACACACTGCAGTCACGGTAATCTTCTGCTGAACAGTTAAATTTATCTGCAACTTTCCCCCCTCTGCCTTGGGTCATCACACTTTCCACTTCAGTGAGTTTTCCAGATGAGCACTCACTCCTTCTGCTCCTGCCCTGTACAAGTTTTGCACTTTTCTCTTGCATCTCTTCTTCCTCACTGGGTAAAATCTAGACCAGAAGATGGCTTCTGAGCATGCCCAGTCTGTCCCGAGGGAGCCCAGTGTGATTTGCAAGGGAGGACTGGCTTCTGCCCCATGCGGTTCAAACACGTTTTTTTCATTGTTACCTGCCACTAGACTGAAAATTCCACTTCTGAAAACACACTACTTTACAAAATTCCATCCCAAACCTTAGTGATTTGTATTATCACCTTTAAGATTTGTCCCTCTGATCCTACTTCTCCTGTGTTTTACATAGAGCTTCTCATAAACTGACTTATTACTAAAATTTACAGAGAACAGAAGCTTCATGTTTCTTCTGTGAGTAAAATTTCTATATCATTCCTAAGCCAGAATGTTTTCAAAAGACAGTATATATAACTGATTAAAGTTGAAAGACTATAGTCATCCTGTGTTCCAATATAGTAGCAGGGTATGGGCTGGTGAGATTGCTCAGAAGGTAAAAATACTTGCCACCAAGCCTGATGACCTGAGTTTGAGCTCCAGAATCTACATGGTAGTTGGGGAGAACTTATTCCTACAAGTTGTCCTCTGACTTCTATGTGAGTGTACGCGCCATGCGCGTGCGTGCGCGCGCGCGCACACACACACACACACACAAAATAAAATAAATAAATAAATAAATAAATAAATAAATAAATAAAATACTTAAGAAAATTATTTCCCCTAGTGTTACCCTGTACCTGTTAACTATTTCTCTCCAATCACTGAGTCTCACTTTTTGGTAACTGCTCTTCTACTGTCTATTTCTCAATTATTCTTATCTACTGACACACTGTAATTTGGTTCTTGATTACAAAGTATTTTTAGTGGTGGTGCTTTAGTCTTGGGTCCCCTGTCTTCACTGACCTTATAGTCATGTGGGGCACTTGACAGAGTTCAGTGTGGCGACTGCTTTCACGGAGAGGCTGAAGTGACTGGAATGTAGTGGGTTATTGGGCTCTGAATGGGAGCTCCAGGGGTTAAGTTCCATAACACAGCAGCTCAGACTATATTTTCTTGAAGTTTTAAGCACTAGCTTCTTATGGTATAATTGCATCTTGTTATATCTATTTGAAAGCTTTTGGTGTTGCAAAAAGAGGAAAATATATGCATGTTGCGACAAATTAAGTGTACCAATGGGGAGGTTCTGGTGTGAAATGATCTTCCCTCTTTACAGACAGATCCAGTTGAGTATGTGGAGAACATGTGTGAAAACATGCAGCTGTACCCATTACAGGACTTCCTCACTGGAGACCAGCTTCTGTTTGAGTACAAACCAGAGGTAAGGTCTCCACTTGGAGAACTTGCTCTTAGGGAGATAGGGAGTGAAAAAGGGCAGAGATGTATTTAAGAATTGTTAGAGTGGAGATAACTTGGGTTATATTT